TTTTTTATCAGCGAAGGACTTTTATGATATCGGTAATCAAAAGGTATGTAGCGAAATTTTTACATACATAAAAGTAAAATTCATATTTTCATTTCCATACGCAGACTTGCCAGGAATTAGATGCCGACTTTGATAAGTGAGCAATATTGATATATCAAAGGATTTTCCAAATTGTTTTCAAAGAATACTACTAGTCTCATATTTGTTTTATTTATCTCCTTATCTAGGGTGGTGCAACAGGCAGTGACGCTTGGAAAAGAGTTCAAAGAAACACTTTATGTTGTCAATGACAGCCTATCGCGTATTGAAAATAACATAAGGTATGCTAAATATACCAACATTTACACACATACATACATATTTACATATGTAAGTACTTATTTATTCAATTTCCAAATATTTGACATAGTACTGAGCTCAGTGGTCATAAATTTACATACATAAATATATTTTTTTTTTATTATAGAACGGCGGAGCCCCAAACATTCAACTTGGGTCAACCTTACCAATGCAAGGATCGAACAATTGATGATCTGTTTTGTGAGGACAACAGATATTCGACAAATTTATTGCTTATTGGACGTGGTGCCAAAGCTTTAACCCACAGTTCATATCAATATTTATTAGTCGGAAATCCCTGTGATGCACGTTGTATAACAAATGATGAAGACTTCTTCATTGGTTGGAATGCATTCACGAAACTTTACAATAAAAGTTTATTTGGCTTACTTCTCGTTTACATAGACGCAAGTGGCATGGAAAATTTTCTATATATTCCAGAGATCATAGTTGATGATAAAAAAATTAAGTTTTCACAAACACGTAGCAGTATGCTGATGTTCAATTTAGAAGATTTATTAGTAAACAAGTCGTTAGAAGGTGTTAATATAAGGAGTTGGAAAATGTATTTGAAAAGAAAGGATCCAGCTATTTGAGTGCATCGAAGAAGTAAACAAAATGTCAAACATACGTACATATGTATGTAATGTAATATTTACACAACGTACGTATTTAAACACATTTACACAAAAATAAAACTGATTTTTTCATAACTCTTGACAAAGTGTGTATATTATACTAGGGGTACCAGTTACTGTCGAAATTCGACCGTTGTTCTAGTAAGACCCTTGGAGAGGTTTTCTAACTTAGCTTTCTGCTTTGGAACTAAAAAGTGACTTAATTTTTTTTTATATATTTGAAGGTCTTTGGAGGACTTTGCCAGGACTTGGAATATACCCGATACATTCCAGTTTGTTTCGATAATTTGATACCTATCGATAACTCAATGAATTTCAGAAACACTAAAATCCCTAACTCAACAAAATTCGATCTATTCGACTAATTTCAATAACTTTCGATAACTGTTTGTTTCTAAAACTCCAAAAACTTCGATTCCATAAATAAATAATTTTCAGTAAACTAATAATTATTTTTGTTTGCGTCCTCCTCAGCCCGTAACAGTGTACGCCCGCGTGGTTAGATAAGATACATGTATCCACAAGCCTATTTGTTGTGCATTGTTTGGAAATTGACTCATAAAACTTATAAAAACCATGAACAACTTTTATACAATACTTTTATTGGAAGTAAAAAAGTTTGGGTCAAATTATTCGAATAGTTGTGACAGAGAACAACGCGAGTCGAATTTACTTATGTTGTTGTTCAAAAACGTGGGACTTAAGTGAATTAAGCTTGCTTACAATTACTAAATGTAGCTCGTTCAAATCTGCCGACTTTTTTTCGTTGGGTGCAATTAAATACACCATTTACGAACAATTTTGATGCACCGAGCGGAGAGTGCCTACATATATACAAACGTGCTCGCAAGTTCACTAAATTACATTTATGTATGTATGTATACAAAATATTCGCATAAAGCTATGGCGAAATATTTAAGCCGAACAGTTTTCCATAAGCATTTCATGCGCACAGATCTAACCTTGGATCATAAAAATTATGTCTTTGGAACATATGGTGACGGCAATGTCTTGCTTACTCTCGACATGCGGCAATAATGGTGGCACTACGTTGATGAAGAATTCGGCGATGGCAAGACCACTTGACGATGTTTGGGGTGTGGGCTGCAGGGCAAAGGCGGTGGAGTTTAGTGATAAACTGTAAGTGTACACTCATGTTTTAATATAAACGCAATCACGATGTATCCAATTCTTAGCAATAAATTGCTCAAAGATCAGTTGAATGCAACAGAAGTGCTGAGTGAACTTGAAAAACGCGTAGCACAATTAAAAGGTACGAGTACAATAGGACGTAGGAAGCGTGAACTAACACATAATTCAGATGATATGCGAAGTTCGCGCTTTGATTGCAACGGTAAA